TATATATATATATATATATATATATATATATATTTGTCTATGAGAAGTTTGGCAAAAGATTGAGGATCGTAACGTCGCTTTGCATAGAATAACTGTGGTTGAGCATAGTTGAGGTAGTCATTGCTGCCAATAGTAATAATAAACAATGATTTTGACAAATAATCTGAAACTTTGGAAGAGGCTTTGTAGTGTTTGAACAGTTCCAATTCAACGGTAAGGTTGAACAAGTCAATCTGCTCATCGAAATTTAAGCATATTCCCTGCAAGGAAAAATAAAACCCAATAAATAAGATAATATGCAAGTTAACAATTGTTACAAGAAAATATATAAAAGCAAGAATTTCCATTTCTTAGATTATCATACTCTGGATTTTCCAGTCTCAGGAAGAATGCCACAAGTAGCAGATGCATAATTCAATCCTGTCAACTCTGGTGATCCTCTTAAACTGAAGTATGGCAGTGAATATGGCAATCCAAGAAATTCAGCTACAAAAATAAGCAAATACCTTTCATAATATAAACTAATTCAAAATTAAATAACAATAATTCAACTTAAAAAGTACTACCAATTAAATCAGGAATAGTTTTCCCGTCCGTAAATCTTCCGGTGGCTCCTCCATCAAAATTCACACCGTAGGGTGGATAATTGGCCTTGCCTAGAGTTAGTAAAAGATTATTATTTCCACTGTCAAACAAAGAATCTCCAAAAACATACAATGCAGGAGCAATTGGAGAATTTGAATTCACTGAAGAAATGCACAACAAGAAGATGATAATCGAAATCATTTTCTCCATGGTCGTGCGAAGAGCAAGTTCTTTAAAGAAAGATAAGGAGAATAAATAGAAGAGAACTATACGTGGATACATGTAGCTAGCAATCAGAATATCAACTTTATAGAATATTTCGTTGATGTGCAAGTTATTGGGACCAAAAAACGTGATACTACCTGGCTGGAACATGGATTATTCCGAGAAGACACATTAAATATATAATTGTGACAGGTAAGTTTCATTTATGATCATTGAAATTTCACTATAATCATATTTAGAGTATTAAATTCTTGGCTGAAATTTTGATGGGTATTAAAAATCTTTCTAAATTCATGTGTTTTTAATTGAAATTTTAATGGATTTTAATGAAATCTAGGTGTCTCTATCTGAGATTCTATTAAATTTCATTGAAATCTTTTAAAAATTTAGGTATCCTCAATAACTCATGAATTTATAAATGTTTCATTAATAGAAGGATTTATAAAAGATTTGAGTGAATTTCAACATAAAAATTCATAAAACAAACTCTCTTGAAATTTCACCATTTTTAATGAGATTTTTATAGATTTTAAGAAAAATTTATTTAAATCTATGAAATTTATAATGGGAGCAGCTATTTACATCCACTATTGTTATATATATAAAAAAAAAAACCTCAAATTCTTGTTTTGATAATTATCCTAACAAAAAATATAGTCATCAATGTTTTCAATTCAATAGAAATCAAGAAAAGAAAAGATGTAACTGAATACTCAAATAATTCGAAATGAAATTTGTTAATGTGATATTACTTGAATTTAAAAGGCACATTATGAAATAATCCAAGCACAAATTAAGAATAATTCACATATTTAGCCCTTGTTTGAGCCGCATTCTTTTGATATGAATGAATTTTTGAATAGTGTATCGAAGAAAAATGTGTGGTTTAAAAATAAGGAAAAATTTTGAATTTGCATGTAATATTATTTTATTGAAGAATATGTGGTTGAAATGATGTCAAAATACTGTTTAAGAATATATTTTTTGTTTCAAATAATGGGAATCAAACATGGGCTAAATTTATAAAACCCACAATAAAAGGTAATCTTTACATTTTCAAACTCTTTTTCATACATTGTCGTTTTAATTTTAGATGAAGAGAATATTTTATGAATATTAGGGTTTTATAAAAAGGTCAAAAAGTATTTAATGAAAATAAATAATAGTTGATAAATTTAGAATGATATATTTTTATTTAATTATATATATGTCTATTTAATTAAATAGTTTTCATCAATTTGCAAAATAATAGGCGACAATATTGGTGAAATTTTAAAATAAAATGAAGTTCATTGGTGGAATTGAAATTAAATTGAGTACAATGATTTAATAAAAAAAAATTAAAATTTAGTGACCCAACGAAGATTTTTAGAGTTCAATGACAAGAAATGATGTCATACCCTATTTATATAGATAACTATACGCTTATATGTATAGAAATAAAAATTTGGCAACACGACCTAGGCATACGTTTTCACATTATATTTTTTTCAAAGATAAAATGAAATAAGCATATTCATACTAAGGTCCATGTATATCCTCTCCTAATCAACTATGATGTTCATATAGCGTATTACGACAAAGCACTACATATCGAAATTTCAACATATTTATTTTAAGTTTACGGAAGTATCTATCATACCATGTCAAAAGTCATACATATACAATATAGGATTCCCAAAATATAATATAACAAATTGTAAGATCAAAAGCAACAACACACAACACAATCCTACAGGTCGTCATCCATGTACATCAAACTTTAGAATCTACTAAGAATTTCACAGCTAGCCATGTCCTCTATGAAATTCTATGCTCACCTACTATGCAAGAACTACATGAGTTAATGCCCAATAAGTAAAAATTATGCATGTTGTGAGTATAAGTAATATGAGTATATGCCACCATGTCATTCCTTCAAAACATCATGCTAAAATGTTTCATATTCAAATATTTATCAAAATTAACTACGCAGATCGGTAGACAAGAAGGCTTTGACGTAGGGAGATGGATGTGCAATTGTGAAAGAAGATTGACGCGAGCACTATTCCTCTTTTCCACCCCTACACTATAACTAATTCTTCACTGTAGACGCTGGATGAGACCAGAAGGTAGTAAGCGAGCTATCCCTATCCATTCTGCTTTGTTAGTTCGTGATATCACCCTGTCCACATTCATTCGAAATATTTTCCTTTCATTGGGCATTTGACCCACATTCACACTCGACAGCGCCAATCATCATAACATTACAAGGACAAAATCGAGTGGTCTACCCTCCTGTGATCATCAAAGGCCCATCCTCTATCTACCTTTGCAATCACCTAGGAAGTATTATCCGCGTGCCAAAACATATCACATAAGCATATCTTTATGCCTCAGCGCCCTAGTAGTGGTTAATAATATATTTTATAATGTAAATTCATTTTTTTAATCATGTCGTATATTCTAGATTTTTAACAATGGACATATGTCTTGCATGCACGTGCAAGTGCTCATGAATAACATGTTAAATCAATATATTTTGGAGCCACATGCTCAATCATCATACCATCATATGGTATGCCATGATCACCTTGTCAAGGTCATATAAATGTTACAACAATACTCTATATAGAGAATATTTCACGAATACCATGTTCTTTCGTCGTAGTTATAAATGAATTTTTACTTACTTTTTTGCCTCTGTGTGTGTGATCTTTCTATGACCTACACCTCTTCACCTAACGTCGGAAGACAAACTATATTACCATATAATATTAAACACGATCCTCAATTCAATAATGTTATTATTTCAAGTTACCGATTGTACTCCAAAACAATCCCATAAATTTCATCATTTTCCTAGTCTAATCATGAATGTCAACTTCATCTAATTGTCTCTAAGGACCTAACACTTATTAAAATTAATTTTTCAAGCCTTAGAGATGATTAGTGCTTATGTAGAGGTTGAAAATATGCAAACTACCAAATTGGACATAATCTATTCTTGAGTATTAGTTGCCGCCATATCCCATTTCATCCATATTTTCACACCCTTAATCACGTTCATTCCTTCCTAAACTTTTACCACACTTATATAACATATATGTGCGGGTAAAAATGTTATTAATTCATCCCAAAATCAATCCTTTTTACCGAACACCAAATTAAGAATTTTTTTTATGGCTGTTTTGACATTCACTTGGATTAACATAACACAACTCAGATTCTAGACTATTAAATATCATTTATATACTTCTAACTCATATATAAAAATATTTATAATAATAAATACAAGTTATACTCAAGGTATTATCCAAAATCAAAGGTTGAATCGGCAGAATCCAACAACTATGCAATTTCTATCCTCAATTGTTTCACTCAATATATCTCCACCAATTTTCTCTCTTTTTGCCATAATAACATCCTTAACACCACCCCCAACATAATATCAAGCAATTTCAGAGGCTTAAGAGATTGTAACACCTTCAAAAACAATGAAAAAAAAAGCTTCAAAATTGTGAGCTAAACTCACCTATCCAGAAATTCAGTTTCCAGCTTCTTGTTTCTACATTCCTCCGTTTCCTTTGTTTTTTCTTTCACCTGGGGTCACTTGGAGATAATTTGAAAGGCTAAATATCTTAGTATGGGGGGTATATAAAGAGTCTTAAAGGATTGGGGTCGTGACTCTTGCTTAAGGATTTAAGAAAATGTTGCATGTAACCACATTAACAAGCATGACATGTGTTAAGTAGGATGTGGCTTCATGCAACAAAATTTGACTTTTCCCTTATCATATTTGGAGCCATAAATGACTTATATCATATCTATCTAACCTATGTGAAGTACTTAGGGGTTAGGAGATGAGATGGATTCCTTAAGTTTAAAATAATTGGATGTAAAAATGACACATCACCAAGCATTAAGTAGGAGGTGTCTTCCTTTAATTAAAATCTAATTTTTGTACCTATACTTGGAGGATTCGTATGTAACTTAGGGGGTAATATACTACACATATGAAGTCTTAAATGAGTTGTAGGCATGACTAATGCTTAAGAGTGAAGGAATTGACCATTACAAAGATAAATCAACAAGCATGAGGTGTACTAAGTGAAATAATGTAGTTTGACCAAAATAACACCTAGAGGGGGGAGGGGGGGGGTGAATAGGTGCTTATGCGAAATTTTACAAATTAATTAATAAATGCAACAAGTCACAATTATTAATGTGTCCAAGTCAATTCACATGCTTTACTATCTTACGTTGAATTACCGAAAATAAGTAAATTGCAGAAATATAAATAACACAGTTGTTTGATGACGGAGAAACCCCAATGTGGGTAAAACTCCGAAACCAAGCCAGTAGTTTTCACTATACCAATCCAGCAAGTACAAGTTCTGCCAAACTCCGTACCCAGTCAGACCTGTTGTTCCAGTCTCACGTTCTACTATCGTAGATACTACTAGTCTCCTGCTAGCTTCCCGATCTACCTTCTACAGTCCAATTTGTTGTCCAATAAAACCTCATGGTCTTTAGCTGATTGTATCACCAAGTGGAATTCCAAGAACCTCCTGTTCTTATCCAATTCCTGCGATTGTCGTCCACCTCTCTCAATCCCCCAATGAGAGATTCCATTCCTCAAAGGATTAAGGAATCATGGTGTTTTGTCTTCGAGAACCTTGATGTTTTTCCCACACGTGTATATATAAATTTGCCAACCAATTTGTTGTCTCTACATGCATGTGATCAAGAAAATTCAATTCAACTACCTGTTTTTTTATTTCCTCCAACAGCCTCCACTTTCGATTTTCTGTGGGTGTATATGTATGTATTAAATTCAACTTGGTAGCCTACTAAATCTCGCCCAGTAGCTGATGCCTTTGTCCCTTTCTATGCATATAAATAATGACAGAAGCTAGCCCTTTTACTGCCTCAATTTCTGTGTGTATGCATTTTACAATTTCGGCAACCACTACTTTGTTAATTCCACCAGCAGCTTCAATTTTCGTGTCGATGTATGATCCAATTTCAACTCACCTCTCTGCTTTACGTTCTTGCATGTATATGTAATTAATTCCAGCAATTTTGTTTAACTTTTTCCCCTAGCTGCTCTTGTCTTGTGCATGTTTATATATAATAAATCATTGATTCCAGCTGCGCGTGTATTTGTTCAATTTAGCCCCAAAGCTGCCGCCTCAAATCTGTGTATATTTATAATACAATTTTTCAGCCCAAAAGCTTCTTTGATTTTCAGTGAATAAATATACCAAATTCAGCTCATAGTAACCTTGAATTTCGGCTCCTTTCTGCCTCAATTTCGGTGCATATGTATGACACAATTCTAGCAGTCGACCAGCCTTTTAATTCCTCTTGCAGCCGTGTTTTTTATGCCGTTACCGCTTGCTTGGGTCTCATTTATTTCTCCCAGGAGGCCCAATTTTTCTGTAGGCGTGTAGGGTATATATATATATATATATAATATTGGTGGCTCCCTTTCCATACACAAACCAAACCCTAACAACTATACAGTATTGCACATCAAGCCTTGACTTTTAGACATGTTCAATTAAGTCCTTTTTGTTCATAGAATGCCAATTACAATTTTAGACCTAACAATCTCCCCCTTTGACATTCTGTGACAAAACTATACAAATTCAAGTCAAGGGATTACAATCAAATCAAAACAACCTAAACTACCCAGTATTCTAATCACTGAGTCTTGCATTCCTTATTGTACATGTTTCTTGAAATCCAAAAACTTACATACCCAGTGTAAAAGCACGTGATACAGGAAATATAGAAATTAAAGCACTTAATCACAAATTAACATGCTAGTTTGAGAACTGACATTAATGTCAATTAAAACACCAACAGAAACATTAACGTCACCAAACATCAAAACTGAAACAGCTATGGATGTGATATGGAATGCAATGCAATGCTCTCCTCCTTACTGCAAATTTTCATGTTTTTATGCAATAGGTAAATGTATCTATGTCTCTCCCCAACGACCCCTAGACATAGCAATGCAATGCAAGTAATGTCAATCAACAAAATGTGCATGCATATGCAGTCACTCTCTTATGTGTATGCTCTCATTTTCCATTTTCTCCTCCTCAGTATATACATTTTCTCTCCTCCTTTTTGTCACAAATGCTGAAGGGAATCACATTAAGATCAAGTCGAGCAATAACATATAACTATCAAGAATGCAGTTGATAGCATGTAAAAGCAAAACTAACAAGTAGTATACCTTTCCACATTCTTAGTTCAGTCCAAAATGGAGTAATAAAAATATAAGTGACTCATGTGTGTAAAGTGTCACTAATCCAATGCAAGCAAGACTCCAAACCTTAATTTTGGGAGAAGGGGCATGCCAATCACTGCTAACAAGTATATTCTCCTACTAATGAATGTCAAGCCATGTAACATGTAGTAGGACATATATTTACTATTATTATTTATCTCCCATTTACTATGAGCCTTTGTAATTTTTCAATTTTCATATTTTTCAAGCTCAACACAATTTTCACAGTTTTTCATTTTTTCAGCTCATTGATTTTTCATCTTAAGTGCAGGTTTTTCTTCATTAAGCGACTAAGATGACTCATGTAGAAAGCTTTTGGCTGGTTAACCCAAATCAGTTGACCATATGCACCAGGTTTTAAGAGACCCCGTAGGCTTAATTACTCAAGTCAAATAGGCCCCGAAAAAGAATATTAAGATATGAGCTTTAATGCAATAGGGGAAGATTTTTGGATTAAGGTCTACTTAAAATGGTCAATTCATGTTCAAAGTTACCCCATTAACATGTGTCAGCCACCCCAAATCTCCCACACGCGGTAGAGTCCCACTGACAAATTCAGTGTGTACAGTGCAGATGGTACATGAAAATACCTTTACTAAGTACTCCATGATGACCTAACCAAGCAATGGAAATAATGCTACAACTTTTCCATTTTAGCCCATACACGGTCACAACATACAAGTTTCTGAATTATATATCAAACTGTAGAAATTTTCCCTTTTTTTAATTTAAATTTTTTAAATTTTTTTTTTGTTTTTTATTTTAACATGAAAGCGCCACACAGTTGTGTCACCGCAATTTTATTTATTTAATTTTTATATATAATGAGATGATAAACATATGAAGAAGATAAATGCAAATAAAATGAATGCAAAAAATGGACATGGAGGTGAGCTATACATGAATGTTCCTATAAAACTGGTCAAGGAGGTACACAAACGCCAACAGCCTTCCTAAGTGACTCGAATCTTAGACCATCTAAAGGTTTAGTGAACAGATCTGCAAGCTGATTTTCTGTAGCAATATGTTCAAGGGATACCACATTGGACTCAACAAGTTCACGGATGAAGTGATGACGAATATCAATATGTTTAGTCCTAGAATGTTGAATAGGATTTTTGGAGATGTTGATAGCGCCGGTGTTATCACAAAACACGGTCATGGTGCCCCGATTTATCTCATAATCACTCAAAATTTGCTTCATCCAAAGCAATTGAGTGCAGCAGCTACCGGCTGCAATGTATTCTGCCTCGGCTGTAGACAGAGAGTTTTGTTTCTTACTCATTCATGACACAAGATTAGAACCAACATAGAAGCATCCACCCGAGGTACTCTTCCTATCATCGGCATTTCTAGCCCAATCGGCATCAGAATAGCCGACGAGTTCAAGATTTGACTCTCTGGAATATAAGATCCCATGATTTATAGTCCCATTCACATACCTAATGATACGTCTCACTACACTAAAATGGGATTCCTTAGGATCTGCCTGAAATCTCGCACACACGCCAACACTGAAAGCTATGTCAGGTCTACTGGCTGTAAGGTAGAGTAAGCTACCTATCATACTCCTATACAATGTCTGATCAACACTTCTACCTATAGGATCATGACCTAATTTAGCAGTTGTGCTCATAGGTGTCATTGTGTGTTTTTTACTATCCAGTCCAAATCACTTAACTAGGGCTTTGGCATACTTTAATTGAGAGATAAACAACCCATGGTCAGTTTGCTTTACTTGAAGGCTAAGGAAGTAACTTAGCTCTCCAACCATGCTCATTTCAAATTCTCGTTTCATACATTCGGCAAATTCATGAGCAAGGGAGTCAATGGGAGAGCCAAACACAATATCATCAACATAGATCTGTGTTATAGTTATGGTTTCTTCAATATGTCTAATGAATAGAGTTCTGTCTGCACCACCTCGTGAAAAATCATGATCACCGAGATATGTAGTGCGTCTGTCATATCAAGCTCTAGGAGCTTGTTCAGACCATACACGGCTTTATTCAATTTGTAGACATAATGGGGAAACTTAAGATCGATGAATCCTTTAGGCTGTTCAACATATGCCTCTTTTTGAAGTACTCCATTCAAGAAGGCACTCTTCACATCCATTTGATACAATTTGAACCCTAAAGTACAAGCAACCGCAAGAAGGATGCGAATGGACTCAAGACGTGCAACGGGGGCAAATGTCTCATCAAAATCTACCCCCTCAACCCGAGTGTACCCCTGAGCAACTAGCCTAGCCTTATTTCTTGTTATGGTACCCTAGTCATCGATCTTGTTCTTGAAAATCTACTTAGTACCTATCACATTGCAATCATCAGGTCTAGGCACTGGATACCAAACATTGTTTTGAACAAATTGATTAAGCTCCTTATGCATTGCATTCACCCAACATTCATCTCTAAGAGCTTCCTCAACTTTCTTAGGCTCAATCTGGGATACATAACTTGTATAGGTTAGGTTATTCAGAACTCTCTTTCTTAACCTCATACCTTCATCTAGATCCCCAATGATATTGACCTTAGGATAGTTAGATTTGACCCTAGATGATGGTTCTCTAGGATGCTTAGTTTGTTCACTAGGTGAAGGATCCTAAACAGAAATGTCCATGCCTTTGGAGGATCACGAAGATTTTGGAATTGATTGTTCTTTATCTTCGATTGTGGGTCCTTGATCATCACTTAGATCATCTAAATCTACCCCATTTTCAACGCTCTCTCCCTTAGAGAAAGCATCATCAACAACAACATTTATAGACTCCACGACATTCTGAGTACGTAAGTTGTATACTTGATAGGCTCTACTGTTCCTAGAGTACCCTAGAAAAAAACCCTTCATCACTTTTAGAATCAAACTTGCCTAAGTTTCTCTGTCCCTCAGAATGTAGCACTTGCTGCCAAACACACAAAAGTATTTAACAGTAGGCTTCTTGCCCTTCCAGATCTCATAAGGAGTCTTATCGATTTTCGGTCTCAGGTATACTTTGTTCACTATGTGGCAAGCAGTGTTAATAGCTTCACCTTAGAAATGCATTGCTAGATCCTTGCCATGAAGCATGGCTCTAGCAATTTCTTGTAGCACTCTGTTTTTCCTCTCAACAATCCCATTTTGCTGTGGAGTGATTGGTGAGGAGAACTCATGCTGAATCCCCTCCCCCATACAGAAGTTTTCAAGATTAGAGTTTTCAGACTCTTTTCCATGATCACTTCGAACCCTAGAAATGGAAAGATTTTGTTCAATTTCGAGTCTTTTACACAAAGATTTAACCAGATCACAAGTCTTGGATTTTTCTCTTAGTAGTTCAATCCAGGTGTATCTAGAGAAATCGTCTACCACAACAAGAATATAACATTTACCTCCTAGGCTCTCAATCCTAGAAGGTCCTATTAAATCCATATGGAGAAGTTCTAAGGGTCTGTTTGTCAAGATTTTAGATGTTTGTTTATTGTTTATCCTAAGTTGTTTTCCTTGTTGACACGGCTTGCACACAGCATTTTCATTTTGTTAGGTAAACCATCAACAATTTTCTTTTTGACTAATTTTGACATGCTTTTATAGTTAATATGGCCGAGTCTTTGATACCAAAGTTCGGACATATCAATTTTAGCACTGCTGCACACATAGTTAGAGTTTGGGAGAACTCCATAACAGTTATCAGACGTTCTAACACCTTCAAGGACAACACTACCTGAAGAATCATAAATAGTACATCTCTTTTGAACAAAACTCACTTCATAGTCAGCATCACAAATTTGACTAATGCTCAACAGATTGGACTTAAGACCCTCTACATAAAGCACATTAGATATAGTAGGAAGTTCGGATATGTTGATGATGCCTTTACCACGGATAGGTGCCGTACCCTCGTCTTCAAAGGTAACTACACCACTTTTGCAGTCATCAAAGGCAGAGAATAAGGCCTTATTACCTCACATGTGTCTAAAACAAGCACTATCAAGATACCACATACATGTATTTTGAGCCTTAAATGCAACATGAGCTATAGAACAATTTGAATTCTCACCATACCTACCCACATCAGATTTCTTAACCCAAACTTTTCTAGAGGTCGAGATGATCCCAGTTAATTTTGTCACCATCTCAATTAAGTGACTAACCTGATTTGAAAGAAAGTTTACTTAACTAGGGATATCCTGACTTCTATTCTTATTTGCTAGCTTATGACACCTTGGTCTTGTGTGTCCTAAAGCACCACAATGATGACAAGTGGGTATGAACCTAAAGTCAAATGCATGTGATTGTTGGTGCTGAAATTTTGGTGTAGAAATCTTACGAGCTCTAATGGCATTCAGTTCAGTGACACACTTACTTTTAGATTCACGATTGATTGAAATACTAGAATATTTGGAAGCAAGCACGAATGTGGTCTTGGATGAACTAGTCACGTTGCTATCACTCTTCACAAATCCTAGACCTTGCCTATTCCCAGTGGGTTTGTTCATTTCTAACAGGTCATCTAGTTTCTTAGTCCCACTCATAAAAGACTGCAGTTGAATATTAGATTTCTTTAACTCACAAGTTAGTGTCTTGACCTTGTCCTCTAGCTTCTCATTGACACACTTCAACTCACTAAGATTTTTAGATAAGACCTGAAGATCATTAGTGAGTCTCTCTTTCTCTCTCTCAAGCTCGTCTACCTTCTTAAATAGGGCTTTATTTACCTTTTTGATCTTAAGACTCTCCTTAAACAGAAGTTGATAAGCCTCATGTATATCCATCTCATCCTCAGTATCGTCACTAGACTTCTCACTCTCTACATCCTCCTCAACCTTCTCACCGTCCTTATCTGACTCACTCTAAACTGTAGACGCAAAAGCCATATAATCCTTTTCATCTTCACTACTGGAGGAATCCCTTTGATCACTTGAGTTTGAATCATCATCAGTCAATGACACAACTAATGCCCTGCTCCTTCCCTTTTTCAGATTTTTCTTAAAGCTAGGACATTCATTTCTATAGTGCCCAAATCACTGACACTCATGGCACCTAAAAACATGAGATTTCTTACTAGACTTCCTAGTAGTTGGTTTATCACTCTTCTCTTTTTGGAATTTTCTAGGGGCTCCTCTATTTTTTTCTTAGGACCATCTCTTGTGCTTTAAAGCTTTCTAGAACTTCTTTACGAAGTAAGCTATTTCCTCATCTCTAAGGGTTTCTATGTCAGACGACTCAGACTTTTCTTCTCCAACTGTGTTTAGCGCTATGGACTTATTTTTCTTAGGTTGTGAGATGGTGAGTTCGTAGTTTTGAAGGGATCCTACGAGTCCTTCTATCTTAACCGTATCCAGATCCTTACTTTCTTCAATCGCTGTAACCTTAGGTCTAAATCTCTCAGACAAAGATCTAAGAATCTTTCTCACAATTTTTGACTCGGGAATCTTCTCACCTAGATTGAAACTAGAGTTTACAATGTCATTCAATTTTACATAAAACTCATCAAATGATTCATCATATTTCATCCTGATTTCTTCAAACCTAGATGTTAGCATTTGCAATTTTGAATTTTTTATGATTTTAGTTCCCTCATGCATAGTCTCTAGAATGTCCCATACCTCTTTAGCAGTTTCATACGTTGACACTCTCCTAAATTCTTCGGGAGACACGGCCATAAACAAGGCATGAAGTCCTTTGCTATTCCAATTGCAATCAGCTAATTCTTCCTTAGTCCAAAGTGAAATATTAGTTAGATTGACAACACCAGACATAGTTGTGGAAGGAGGTTTCCATCCATTTTGTACACTTAACCAAACACGTTTATCTAAGGACTTGAGAAAAGCACGCATCCTAACCTTCCAGTAGGCATAGTTGCTTCCATCAAAATACGGAGGCACAGACAGTGATTGACTCATCTAGACAGCAATGTGTCAGGACTCGAGTTTTAGTTCTGATACCACTTGAAATAACGTAGTTTGACTCAAATAACACATAGAGGGGGCCTGAATAGGTGTTTATGCGGAATTTTACAAATTAATTAATAAATGCAACAAGTCACAATTATTAATGTGCCCAAATCAATTCACATGCTTTACTATCCTACGTTGAATTATCATAAATAAGTAAATTGCAGAAATATAAATAACTCAGTTGTTTGATGACGGAGAAACCCCAATGTGGGTAAAACTCTGAGACCAAGCCAGTAGTTTCCACTATACCAATCAAACAAGTACAAGTTCTGCCAAACTCCGTACCCAATCAGACCCGTTATTCCAGTCTCACGATCTACTATCGTAGATATTACTAGTCTCCTGCTAGCTTCCCGATCTACCTTCTGCAGCCCAATTTGCTGTCCAATACAACCTCCTAGTCTTTATTTGATTGTATCACCAAGTGAAATTTCAAGAACCTCCTGTTCTTATCCAGCTCCTGTGATTGTCGTCCACCTCTCTCAATCTCCCAATGAGAGAGTCCGTTCGTCAAAGGATCAATGGAATTTCCGTGTGTATGCATTACACAATTTCGGCAACCACTACTTTGTTAATTCCACCAGGAGCTTCAATTTTCGTGTCGATGTATGATCCAATTTCAGCTCACCTCTCTGCTTCACGTTCTTGCTTGTATATGTAATTAATTCCAGCAATTTTGTATGACTTCTTCCCCCAGCTGCTCTCGTCTTGTGCGTGTTTATATATAATAAATCATTGATTCCAACTGCGCGTGTATTTGTTCAATTTAGCCCCAAAGCTACCGCCTCAAATTTGTGTATATTTATAATACAATTTTTCAGCCCAAAAGCTTCTTCGATTTTCAGTGAATAAATATACCAAATTCAGCTCATAGTAACCTTAAATTCCGGCTCCTTTCTGCCTCAATTTCGGTGCATATGTATGATACAGTTCCAGCAGTCAACCAGCCTTTTAATTCCTCTTGCAATCGTGTTTTTTGTGCCGTTGCCGGTTGCTTGTGTCTCGTTTATTTCTCCAAGGTAGCCTAGTTTTTCTGTAGGCCTGTAGGGTATATATATATAATATTGGTGGCTCCCTTTCCATACACAAACCAAACCCTAACAACTATACAGTATTGCACATCAAGCCTTGACTTTTAGACATGTTCAAGTCCTTTTTGTTCATAGAATGCCAATTACAATTTTAGACCTAACACTAGGCATAAGGTGTTCCTTATAGTAAAAATCTGGTTTTACATCTATCCTAGCAGGTACAAATCAAGTATCCTTGACATATTTTAATGTCTTTACAATCTATTTTACTTTCCCTGAGATCCCAAATATTTTATAATTCGTTTAATTATTTACTAGATTGACACTCGATTCTCGATCGATTTCAACAATTTGCACCTCAATATTTATAACGTGACATAAAACTTATATTATTGCATTGTGATCGTGTCATTTCATGCCTTCTATCCCAAATATTTCAATTACCTATCTCGGGTTTAGGGTAACTTTGATCAACCGAATCGAAATCTTGAAACTTTGTCAATACTAATTCCAGCCTTTCAAGATTTTCATTGCTTAATAAGTCAATCTCCAACACCTCGATTAACTACCTAGGTCGAGGAGTTGAAGACTAACATTATATAATGATCTTAAAACCTCAACAATCGAATGTACCATTTTAAGATAAAGCAATTAGTAAAATTAATGTAAATAACATCATAAATAGCATGAAATGCATGAATCATATTGACCAAGGGTGTAATGTGAAGTTCAGGGCATTACACATGATGTACCTATTTGGTAGGTATTAAATTAAGATTTTTAGTAGATTTTGATAGAAATTGATGAAACGTTAAAAAGTTGTGGGTCCAACGAAATATGTAGTTAAAATTAATTGTTGACTCTGACTTATATTTTAATTTTTAAAAAATAGAAGCATCGATATGTACCTAATTATATCACTATTTTTGTTAGGTAAAGCCATTTGTACACTCATTTATTACACTATTGTTAACATTTGCTTTGTTGTCAATAAATAATTGGTTGAAAAAAATTGTTTTTGTTTTTAAATTGTCCAATTGAATAATGTCTTGTGGCAAAGTATACACCATGATCTATACAAAGCATGATTGATTTTTATGAGCTCTCCAATACTGTTCTACTCCCATCATCATTCTTCAAGCTTGACGAAATGCTTGATCGTGACAATGGATGACTAAACTATGACCCACCCTTGCAAAAAGCATAACTCTGATATCGAAAAAAATCGATCGCAACCTATCATACATAAATGTATGTAAATTAGTTCAACATAATAAGCAAGTTCTTGCTTGGCCTCAATTTTTTAAAACTCATTTTTTCCAGAATTCATTTAACCAAATATTTTATTGGATTATCAACTTTTCAACTACAAATTTTATTACTTCTATCAAAATCTATTAAAATTTTGATTTTTAGTCCATCCAAGTAAGAGCTATTCTAGAATTTTTTTGTGTCATCTATGTACACGCCATATTTTGTACAACTTCCACAATACTTCTCAAAACGTGGCAATTAGAAATACAATAAAACACTAGTAGAAATAGAATTTATTTAAACTCACACCAAATCTAAAAGAATCATGCTATATGCACAATCATGGTTGATAGCATCCGATTTGACACCATCATATTCATTCATTTTAAAAACTATTTTCTACATCACAAGTAGTTTGGATTTTGACAACATATAATTGTCAACCATTGTTGTCAACCAATGTTGTACACTTGACTTTATTCTATCTAAAAACTCATGACTTCAATCTCTCAACCATTATCACTCAATTATTCGTTAAGCCCCTGTTCGGCCCTCATTAATTTTGATTATGGGGGGGGGGGGGGGTGGGTTTTTTTAA